CTCCCTGCCCTTCCCGGTGGAGGCACCCTCCCTGCAGGGAGGCACGACCCCGCCCACACGGCCAGTTCCCAGCCCTGGCGGCCTCGTTGCCCTTTCACACCGGCCCCGGAAGAGGCGGTGCCAAAAGGGCTGTCTGCTTTCGTCCATCCGAAGCTAATTGATTGACAGGCGAACTGGACAATAAAGGCAAGTGCTTGGCCGAAACTCCCGTGAGTCTCTGTGACCCTGTACTAAACCACCAATCAGAATGTTCTTCCTTTTGGGCGGGTTCCAGGACTGAATTTGCTGCCAAAAGTAGGAGTTCATTGGGCCGCACTAGATCCCACTTCCTGTGGTGCTTTGCTCCTCTATGGTCTTTTGGGTTGTCTTTGGATTTTGCTCGCACTACAGAGGAGAAAGCGGGTGGGAGTCTCAGCCAATAGGCTCGCACCCTGTTTGTGGACTGAAAGGCCCATTGGGCAGAAAAACCTTGATTGACATGGATATAAGCCAATCAATAGTCCCAATAAAGGGTTCTGGAAAGAGTTCCCACAACTGCTGATTCCTGGGAGCAGAATGGCGAGCTGGAGTTCAACTATGGGTTCATTAGCAGTAACAGCTGGCAATCGTGTTATATATTGCCTTGCATTTATGGTACTCGGATTCACTGGGCTTAGCTGGGAGCTTCTAATTCAGGGTGCAGTTATATGACTGGGGCTAAAGTCGCCTCCAGGGCTTCTGTACTTAGGAACACGGAAGAAATAAAATGGTGTCGGTATAGTCATTTCTGCCAAATTAAAATTAAGTAGGTTGAGGTGTGGTAGGCAATTAGACATGAGTAGAACAAGGACCATGGGCCAGGTGTAGAAGGTCACCACTGTGGAAAGTCCTTGGAGCCTAGCAAAGGACAATTGTAGGGTGGGACCTTGCCCCCAGGGTGACCTCTCCTCCCCCAGCATATCGCTGGTCCTGTGGTTTGGACTCCCTAGAGATAACATCTAGGCCTCAGTTGTATTTCAGCTCCAGGCCCAGGAAAGCAACAAAACCTGGCAAGCCACACCAAAGCTGACCTCGGGATCAGCTGCATTGAATAATGACCCTCTGCTCTGATGCCACAACCCTGAAAGGACACACCTGGAAAACTGCTGAACACTATTGAAATCTTCCCTGGGGGCCTATCCCAAAGTCTCCACCCTTAAAACCCTTAGGACAAAGGACCCAGCATGCTCTCCCTCCCTGGAGCATGCCTTTCCCTTAACCCTTTCCCCTTCTTCTTCCCACTTCCCATCCCCCAGACGTGTCACCATTAGCTTCTTCACTCCCAAACTCAAAGGGCACTTCCTTTACTTCTATAACTTGTTTCCTAATCCCATTTCTTCCAGTAATTACTTTTTCTACCTCTGTGATTTACCAAATAAATGTTCTCTTATAGTTGGGAGTCTTGGCTCTGAATTCTTTCCTAGCCAGAACTCAAGTACCGAGGTTGCTGAACCCAGGTCTGGTCTGTCCCTGTAGGTCTAACCCCCCAGTGCTGTTCCAGCCACCTACAACAGAGAAATGGGGACAAGATTCTATTCTTGTTTTAAATAGCCTGGGAACTTAAACTTTCAACTTTTACAGTCCTGCCTCAATGCCTGCATATACATCAAACCTCAGATAAATGTCTGATTACCCTCTGGAAGACTAAGGAAAGAGTATCCAGACCTCCTGGAGGACTGAGGAAAGAGTATTCATGTATCCATAGCACCTGACATCTATTATCCATACTGCCTGACATCCATTGTCCAAACCACCTGAGGATTACAATCTTGGACCAGTCCAGAGGCTAAGAATGCAGGACTGATTCTTCTCAAGAATGTACTTTTAACTATAAGAAGCTTTTCTTTCTTCTTCAGAACATCCTGGATATTACCTAATTGTGTGTCTAGTTTGCAAACCCTAAGACCCTTGAATAAATATTTATTTTTAGCCAAAGCCTCCTGATTCATTTACCATCCGTCAACAATACATGTTTATAGCTCGATCCTGGTTATTGTCTGGGACCTCAGTTGGGGCTGCTAGAATTCCTACAACAAAAATCCTGTAAGGTGGGTTTACCCAGAACTCCCCTTACTAACTTGATGTTTTCTCTTAGTACTTTTCCATCCACTGCCTCCCAACCTGCACCTTGGCTCTAAATGCCCATTTACCCATATGGAGTTGAGCCCAGTCTCTCCCACCGCCACATCACATTGCAGTGGTCCCTATACCTATTGTGATGCTCCTGAATAAAGTCTGCCTAGCCATCTTTAACAAGTGGAGAATATTTTTTTAACACTGAAGACCCAGGACCAGAAACTACTGCAGAATCTTTATTCTGTAGCGTATTTTATTAGTCAAGCAGCCCCATAATCAGATTGATGGGAGTAGAGTGAAATAATTTGGCAGTCATGTTTTAAAACTTCCAGAATCCACTCTCTGGCTACAAATGTTTTTTACATTTGATGACCTTGACAGTTTTGAGGAATACTGGTCAAATATTTTGTATGATGCCCCTATATTGGAATTTTTCTGATGTTTTTCTCATGTTCTTGGCTTTGAGGAAGAAAACCACAGGGGTAAAGTGCCCCTTTATCACATATAGCACATGATTTACCAATGTAGATATTGACTTTGATCACCTGGCTTGTCAGGTTTCTCCACTTTTATTTCTAATATTGGTAATGTTTGTCGTCTCTTTTTCCTGGTTAGCTTGTGTAGAAGTTTAACCTTTTCAAAAAGCCAGCTTTTAATTTCTGTTGATTTTTTTCATTATTTTGTTGATTTTTCCTATTTTCAATTTCATTGGTTTATTTTTTGTTATACTGTTGTCTTGCTTTATATATTGTCCTCAAGAAGACTAATGCCTTCCTCCTTTTATTTAGAAGTCATTGATCTGTTTGATTCCAGGCCCAGAGGATTTCCCCCATTACCTTTACAGTCTCATCTAGTGGTTTTCCTAGGACCATGGTCGGCAAACTGCGGCTCGTGAGCCACATGCGGCTCTTTGGCCCCTTGAGTGTGGCTCTTCCACCAAATACCACGTGCGGGCATGCATACATGCGATTGAAACTTCGTGGCCCACGCTCAGAAGTCGGTTTTCGGCCTGAGAAAGTCTATTTTGAAGAAGTAGTGTTGATATTTGGCTCTGTTGACTAATGAGTTTGCCGACCACTGTCCTAGGATACGTCTAATAATTATTTCAGAATAATTTTTCCAGGTGTGCCTTTTGATTATGTTGATTTAGATCTTTTCTTTCTGGAGGGTATTTTTGGATTTTAAATATTTATTCCCTTTTGTTTAAATATTTATTCTTTTTTTTTTAAAAGAAACTCCAACTGTGTGGATGATGAATCACTTTTGCTTATTTTCTACCAGTAACTTTTTTTGGTGATTACTTTTACCGCTGTCCTTATTTCAATTCATTTTCTTGAATGTTTTCATTTATTTCCTGAATATCTCATTGTATTTTTCTGTAAAAATTGTTTTATCTTGGATATTTTAATTTAATCTTCTTTTCTGAGTATCTTTGAGATTTTTCTTGAATTTTCCTTCTATGTCCTGTCAACTCTATTTCATATCTTTCTGTTTTACATCCACATATATTCTGAATTTTTGATATAAGGTGTTATTTATATCTGTATATTCATTTTTGTAAAGATACATGTATTTGGGAGTATTGAATATTGTCTAATAGGAATCTTTAACTTATAAAGTCACAATAGTATTCCTTTGCCTCAGCCTTTGTAACACACTAAACACAGAAGCATTTTTCAGGCATGGGCATAAAGCCCACAACCTGGCATGTGCCCTGACTGGGAATGGAACCATGACCTCCTGTCCTGGTTCATGGTCAGACACAGACACTCAACCACTGAGCCACACTGGCTGGGCTCTATGTTGTTTCATAACTGGTATGAAGTCATGCAGGTTAAAACTGGTGAGCAGCAAGTCAATGCCATTTAGACAAATATTTGGCAGAACATGGTTGATAAATATTGAGAAACAACAGGTCTAATTTGCAGTATTAGATTAAGTACCGCTCACCTCTTTTCTTGGTAAACTTCATTTAAAAAAATGGGTCAATAGGGGGTGGCCGAGGAGAGGTCAACAGGGGAAAGAGGAGACATATGTAATACTATATGTAATACTTTTAAACAACAAAGGATTTTTTAAAAAGGGCCTACAAGAGAGACTGTGTTTCTGGAAAAGCAGTGTGCAAATTACAGCTTCTCGGGTAATCCATGGACAATTAGATCTTCAAGCAATGATAGGATTATATCCCACTTAGGGTTCACAAGGAGCCACATTGTGGGGGGGTTTTTCCACACATCTCATTGAACTAAGACTACATTTTTGGAAAGAGACTTAACGGAATCTCAGTACTTAAGTGTCCCAGACTGTGTGGCTGGGCACTGGTATGAAACATTGCAGACAAGTTAGATTAGGAGCACTTGTCAAAATCTTAGCTCATGTTTGGTAGCAAGGGAATCATTTCAGAAAAAAAAAAAAAAACACCCCAAAAAACAAAACTTCAAACATTCCTGAAGGGGGATATCCTTGAAGAATTTTAAACAAGGTTGGCAAGATAATGCACAATTTTTAGTCACATTGTAGCCTTTTAATAATTTGGCCATTTAAACCTGGGTCATAATGTCCTAGGGCAAGCATGTCAAACTCGCGGCCCACGGGCTGCATGCGGCCCACAACGAATATTTTTGCGGCCCAGCCAATATAATGGTATGTAAGAAACGTTTTAATAAAAATTTCGTTAACTTAATTTTTACAATACTGTTATACATAATTATTAATAAGAAACTACAACGTTCGCTAATGACTGATCACTATAATCGTGTTGCATTCATTTTCCTTCTGCTTCTTCCGCGCAGGTCCACCATTTCTCTCCACTAATACTAGCAGCGAATATTTTAGCAGCTGATTGCCACGTCATTAGTCTTGGAATGACTTGTTTGGTGTGTTCAACAGGAAATACTTTGCTTTTGGAGAACAAGAAAAATAGGTTTATTTGTGTTATGCTTATTAATTTGTGCAGTTATGCAGTGTCCGGTCAATGTTCAAGAAAAAATATTTTTATTAAAATGTTCTATTATGTTAACGATTACTCATTTATTTCAGCCCTTTGTATTCAGCATGTCTCTATCGAAATAAACCTACGTTTCTATGAAAATTGAAGCTTTTGTTTTTTTGCGGCCCACATAAACTTAAACCTTGTTTATTTGGCCTGTGTTAGCCTTTGAGTTTGACATGCTTGTCCTAGGGCCACTTCCCTAAAATGAATATGGACGATGTTCCAGAAATATTCAGTAATATGGTGTTGCCTGTCTTGAATGTGGGGTATTTTTCCTTTTCAGTTCTTCCTTTTGGCCAAGCCACATTATGGGGCTACCTTGGCTACATGAAGAATTTCCTCAGATTATTTTTTTTTTGCGCTAGGAAATTATTGGTCAATTTTGTTTTGCTTTTCTATTACTCCATTCACTCCTTTCTGAGTTGCCTGCCTTTAGATGCCTGCTGCTTGGTCTACGTTTCTAAGTAGAGTTATTATTCAGCTTAAGTCACTCTATTTAATTGTCAACAATAGTTAAAGCAAGACCGTAAAGAACAGGTCAAAATCAAACCACTATTTAGATTAAAAATGGCCCTAGCTGGTTTGGCTCAGTGGATAGAGTGTCGGACTGTGGACTGAAGGGTCCCAGGTTCAATTCCAGTCAAGGGCACATGACTAGGTTGTGGGCTTGATCCCCTGTGGGGGGCATGCAGGAGGCAGCCAATCAATGACTCTTTCTCATCATTGATTGTTTCTACCTCTCTATCTCTCTCCCTTTCTCTCTGAAATCAATAAAAATATATTAAAAAAATGATTATATAAAACATATCAAAGGTATGGAACATAAAACATTACTAAGAAGCATTCAATGTTTAAAATGCCTTTTCATCTTAGAGCTATAATATATACATGCATACATAGCTACATATACTTAATTGTGGCTGCTACTCCTGATAAATCTTTTCTGCTCAGATGCACTTAGAAAATTTATTGATACATGAGCTTTTAAAAAACCTAGTTATGAGATAAGTGGCTTGTCACACAGTGAGACAGAAAAACAACTGATATATATTGTTAATTTTTTCAAGTAATGTTATGTACAGTTTTATTGCCAGTATATGCACAACAGTAAGCATAGAACTATAAATACACAATGTAATTAACAGTAGAAAACAAAATTGTTACAGGGAAAGGGGAGGAGATATAGAGAAACTTCCTGCTGCAAGAACAGAAACAAAGGTAAAAGCCGATGACAAATCATCCATTCAGTACTCTTAAATTCTTTACATACATTTCTACATTTTGTTCAATTAAACAAAGAAAGTTCAGATAACTCTGTAACAACAGCAAATTGCTTCCCTAATAGCTATTTGCCTTTCCAGTCAAATTCACTTTGTTAGGATTAAAAAAAAGTCAAGATGAGCAATCATTAGTATTCTGGTTCCAAATGATCTACTTTGCCTTTCGCCAACACTGGTCATTTTTGCAAATTGGCTGCACATGAAAAGAATAGATGTAGCCAAAGGTGACTTAAAAACGTAACAGAAAAATCACCCTTTAGTTTTCCAAAAGACACTATAGGCAGCAGCTCAATTAAAAGTATTAGCCCTGAAGAGGTAGAGAATTTGAGCCCATTATACAAGGTAATAGCCTTGGCACCATCTTCTCTCTCATCAGGATCAACGTTTTCAAGTAAGACAATTTCATGGTAAAAGGAAACCAGGTTCCACCATTTAAACAAAAGGTGCTGGTCGACTCCCATGTCTCAATAATTAGTTTGTTTATTAAATGAGAAACAGAAGACTGTCAAGGACACACATGCACTTGATTATTTTTGTCTGTTTCCATTATCAAGTTTATTTGTAAGTGAATTTGATATTAATAAATATAAAAAAGCATCATTCACAATAAAGATAAACAAACCAAAAACCCTGCAATGAAACCTTCCATTTTAATAAGTATTAAGAAAAAAAACAGGCAGATGATTTGGTGCAGCTTTCTTAAGGGATCATAGAGGGGACATGGTTTTAAATAAAGATGGCAAGATCAGTAACCAACAAACAATATCAGTTTTACAAAACTGGCTGATTCTGTAACATTTCTCTTTGAGGTCTTAGTTTTAAACTACAGACCACCCCAAAGAAGTTATAGCTAATGACATGTATCACAATCACACCAACAGAGTCCAGCTGTAGCTCAAATTAGTCCTGCTGTGTTTCACGTCATTTCAATATTACTAGCATAGGACATGATAGGAAACAAAACTCAAGGTAGCAATTAAAAAATATTATCCTGCATTTGAATAAAGGCAAAAAATGTTTTAGACTGTCCAACTTTTAAAGCTTTAAGCATTCCTGTTTAACCAGCATTAAAAAAAATTTATACAACCATAACACTGGCAAAGGTTAATGGGGAAGACAAAGAAGTACAAACAGTGAAATGATGAGTTAGATTTAAAATTACTTTATATTGATCAACTGTTGTTAATACTGCTTCTTCTTGGATTTGGGATAACTATCATAAAAGTTACATGCAGACTGAGGATAGTCCTCTATTACAGAAAATACAAAACAAAACAGAAAACTAAAACTAGGAAACAATGGTAAGCTCCAAAAGATGCATTTGAAAATTTCCTTTCATTGATGGGGGTGGCCGGTGTCCTTCCCTGGAGAGACCTGGTTCACTTCCACTGGCTTCACTAACTTTGCCCAGGGACATCAGTAGTGGGATCAGCTCCTCCAGAGCCCGTTTGTGCACGTTTGATGTAAAGATTCAGTAGCTTCATCTGCAGATTGAAAGCAAACATGTCATTTGAGCAAGCTGCCCTAATTTATAGTATAATGTTCATTAAAAAATTATATACATACTAGAGGCCCGGTGCACAAAATTTGTGCACGGTGT